TAACGGAAACCGTACTGGCAGTCACCAATCAGCTGGTGCTCCTCAAGGTACCGCATGAGCTGGCTGTTAATAATGGACTCCATTATTTTCAAGAACAAGGGGGTGATGGCAATAGGCCTGTAGGAGGAAGGTTCAGTTTGACTATGGCTAGGAAGTAGGATTAGGTACCGGAAAAAACTTGTAGAATCGGTGCAAACTCTGGAGCACACGTCCTCAGCACAATTGGTGGGATACCGTCAGGCCTACTCGACTTGTGGAAATCCAGGGAGAGGAGTGCTTTACGTTCTGAGCACTGTGTGAATCGCACATCAGGCATAGAGCACCCACACTGCGGAATGGTCGGCGGTGTGTTCCCCCTGTCATCGAGAGTCGAGTTGAACGCAAAAACAGAGCATGATAGAAGTGGGCCCGTGAGTCGTCCTCCCTGCCCAGAGATAGTAGTGATGACTTACAGAAATTCCTTTTGACAGCCCCACCGAGAGACCAGAATGCACGGGTTTCTGAAGGAAGACGAACTAATTTCTTGCCAATTCTTCCAATGTGCACATACTTTGCCTTGGCAATAACTCTTTTGAAGGACCTGGAGAAGAAGTAATACTTCTTCTTAAGCTCGCTGGTGTTTATATCCCGAGCCGCCGAAGCGTCAGCCCAGGCCTGTTGACACTCCTGCTTACTGCGTATTGCAGTCTTACAGAAGCAATCAAACCAAGGCTGCGATCTACCTCCGATGGGTACGGGAATAAATAGTTTCATTCCCTGTAGCACCACATCAGTCACAGAGTCAGTAACAGTGTTGAGATCATCCGGCTAGAAGCAAAGGCGGCGTGTGGGCACCCGCCGCCTTCTATATATATTCGCCATGGGTAGAACGCAAAGAAAGACCGCATTCCGTCTCAACTCCAAACAAAGCGGTAACGTGCAGAACGCAATCGCGAAGGTAGCGTGAGTGGCAGCACACTCCGGATCAGATAATGGTCCGAAGAGCCGATAGGGGCGTCAAAGGATACCTGATATTCGTACGGATGACAGGTCAGCAGAAGTTCTAAGAGGGAAGGTGTATGATCTTCCACATCTGGAATCTGCGTAGGCGAAGTAACCAAAAGCAAAAAGTGGGCGTTAAAATAGCCAAGGCTCACGATCTCTGCCGATGAGATCTATGATGATAATGATGACTTTTTTAAAACTTTATTACGTCCCCTTAGAAAAAAAAAGGATACAAAGAGCAGACTTAGTGCTTAAAGGCATTCTCTACCAGTCAACCCATTGAATGGTGAGTTTGTCGTAGGTGTAACAATTAAAAGAAAAAAAAGAGAAACTAAAATTAATATACATTATATGTAACAAAACTGATAATGATATAAATTTTAAATATATTATATTATATTTGTACATTTACATATTCATAATATAAATACATTTATTATGCTAATAAACATACACATATATGGATATAAATATACATACATAAATACAAAGTTAATACGTAAGTACATATAAATACGACGATGATGATGATGGCAAGAACTGAATTCACTTGGGATCAATCGTAATAGACTTAAATATTAAATCTTACTATAAACAAACCTTAGTGATTTTACTTATTTACTTAACTCGCCAGCTTAACTACGACACCTAATTTACTCCACGTTACAACCGTTTATTAAGGAAATTAATAGCTTCGTTCTTGTCTTCCTTTGTGTAACTAAGATTAAAACTTTTTCGTTTTCAAACGAAGTATCAATTTGACGTACAGCTTTTATTATTAAAAGATCATACAAGAATTCATCCGTATTCCCTAAGTATACTTATTATTTTCGATACAATAATTTGAAAAAGAACTTCTTGCGAATTGTTAACGAAAAACATTAAAATAGTTGTAATAAAACAGTAAAGTTACCGTGTAAGGGCGGTGTAGGAATATCCACTACTCCATATGGTGTCGAGTGACAGAGGCAATCTGAAAAAAGAGATGGGCATCTTCTTGGTAGCAGCTCAAAATAATCTAAAAACCTACAATTGCCAACCGGCATGCCAAGCATGACATAAAATCCCCACCGGAAAAAATTATCAATACAACTCCGTGATTCTGCCGCGTTTGTCCAATGTAAGTCGGTAGACTCTTATTGGCCTTAAATTATTATTTTTTAATTCGTAGGCTAACGTCCTGATTGATCAATTACTTCTTCAGCTATTCGTATTTACCACGACGTAGAGCCGGTTGGTTAGGGCAATTTGGAAAGACAAATCCTTCCAGATATATTTAATTTGGTACATTCTTCAGAAAGCCTATATCCACCTGTGGATTATAAAGGCTGGACAGACAGGTAGGTGACTACAGTACTTACCTTCGCACTGGTAAAGCTACCCGTAAATCGCACCAGTCTGAGTGATTGAAATGGGTATTTCCGAATGCATATACTCGTATCATTAGATAGTTATCAAAGCATCGTTAATAAGTTAGAATGAGCGCATCACGTGGAGATGAGATTAAAGTTTGATGTAATGTAACCATTTGCAACACGACAATTTTTTTTAATTCATTCTAAATCCCCGATCAAAAGTTCACTGCTGAAGCCTCCCCAATACATTGCCTCGTGGGTGGAATGTAAAGAAAGACCACATCCAGTCCCAATCCGCACTGTACACGTAATACCAAACACTGCTGTATCGTGCGGGACGCAACCGCGAAGGGAGCGTGAGTGGCAGCTCACTCCGGATCAGACAATGGTCCGAAGAACCGAGAGGGGCGTCAACGGATACCTGATATCCGTCCAGATGTGTATATGCCGCATATACACCATACGCCACAACAGCATAATGCTGGCATTTTACGTTGGTATTCTTCATTCAATACGCTGCAGCATGGCTCTACCTCGTAATATACGTATACCTCCAAACCGTAAAAAGCGTATTCTAACTAAGGTTTTGGCCGTATTTTATTTTTCCTACCTTATGGACTTAATTAAAACAATTCAACGAGTAGTGCGACATTTAATTAGATGTTATCTTTTACACAATATACCTGTAAGAAATAAATTAAACAAGAAACGACGCACAAAAGACAATCAACAGGGAAAATTAGTCCTTGTTCAATTTATTATACATAACAGTTTTATATTATAATTTATAATACACTATCTGACTCGGCAGACGTTGTTCTGTCCATTCCGGTAGGTGGTGCGGTAAATTTCATTCGGAATTGTAATAAGTCCAACACAGCGCCATCTATCGTGTACAGATGTAGCAATTTCCTTTTTAAAACTAAACCGATATAGATTGTTATAGTGGGTTATTTTGGTTCATTTTGGTGATCATTTATCGAGACCAAGAATAATTATGAACCATCGTTCCGACAAAACAAATATATTATGTAAATACGACTTTTATCGGCCAAGTCGTTAGTAAATTACACTATCACTAACAGACACACTAAAGAAAAAACAATGTCTCACGACCTTCAACCAATAGGCAAAGACTATGTACGCACATTTAGCACGATCCTGATACACCTCTCGATCGCCTCCTTCACATCCATATTATGTAATAAAAGTCGTAAGATAGAGTACTCTTAAACCGATTACAATATGTCGCATTTGTGTCGACAAACTTCCATCTTGTGCCTCCCTTGCCGACTCTGCTACTCATTTCAGCAACATAAATTTGCTTTTTCACTCTTTGCTCATTTTTTTACGTGTACAAGGGACTGAAATATTGCTTTCTTGATCAACCAATATACGTAAACAATATGTATGTATTTAACGTATTTAACAGTAGCCGAATGTTTTAGGTTCGATCTGGCACTGGCACCACTGACATCACAATTTAAAGTGCTGATTTACCAAAGGTAATTATATATATATATATATATATATATATATATATATATATATATATATATATATCATTCGGAAATATATGAAAATCTTTGTCATGTATTGGGGCAGCGCCACAGAGAGTTTCTTGTCCTAAAACACTCTCAGTAATTGGTTGTAACTTTAGTTTACCTTACTTTTTATATCAATTATGTATGCAATTATGCACTGCGCATTATTATTATTTTTATTTTATTTTATATTTGTTTATTTTAACAAATTCGCATATCCCATTTCATCTAACAAATCAAAGTGAATGTAATTAACTATCTATATATACTATATATATATATATATATATATATATATATATAGATAGATAGATAGATAGATAGATATATATATATATAGATATATATAAATAGCAGTGCGTTTTTTAACTTGGGTGGGAATCGTAGTTGGATTTTAGTATAACAATGTAGGCTTCGTTTAGACGTCTGACGTGTAATTTGGTTAAATTACGTAAATGTATCACTTTTGGTTATAAGCCGGTATCTTTATTATATTTATATCTCATTTAAAATTACAAAATGTCATCATAATTAAATAAAAGGCATACATCACAAGGCAGTTGTGTCATTCCCAACAACAAATGTGAACAATCGCACTGCTGGTCGGCTTCGGGAAGTAGAGTCAAAGCGTAAGGTTAGGATTCCCATCTCTAGGAAACTTCATTTATTTCTGTTCAACTACATATTTTATTTATTTAAGCATGTCTACTTAGCAACGCAAACGGTAAAAAGGAATCAGTAGTTTTCCCTACTATATGCCTGTAACCTTCTCTGCTTAAATGGCTGAAGATATCCCGAGCTACATTAGCTACATGCTATCAGGTGACCAGTCAGCTCGTTTGTCACGTCAGTAAAACTCGTATGTGTGGTTAACTCTTCGACAACCGCTTTAACTAGCGGCCCTGTAACGCGCAGTTCAGTCTTGTCTAAGTGTGTGTTGGTTTTGGTTTAGTATCACCCCGAAAGCCTTCAAGGGAGCACGTTATCCTTTGAGACTTGTCACGAACTACTTTTGCCTTTTATCTGTGCGAGATAAAAAAAAGTTCACTCTGTGGATTTGTTTACGAATAAAACAATTTATTACTTTTTATTAATAGATTTTTGTCTTGTATGTAAAATGTATGGTTGGCTGCTTGAAAGTGTCCAGCATTTTATTGTGGTGAGTTTATTTTACAGCTTTTATCAGGGTTTTTTTTTTAAATTGAATTGACAATGCTTGATGAGTACCTATTATATCTTTTATTTATTTCTGGTAATTAAATAAAATAAATCAAGTATTTTCTTTCCTACTTTGAAATACTTTAGTACTTTCAGTACCAAATTTCTCAGTGTAATTTCCCAAACTTGTAAATGAATAATGTAATTTCTCCGCTAACGATTATTTTTTTTACAAAACACATTTTTATAGTTGTGTACGTAACTGGAAGTGGATATTAAAATTAAATGATTTAATATAGACTGTATATCGAAAAAAATAAACAGTACGAGTATAGTACTAAAATTATTATTAAGTTTACAATTCTATGCTTGAAGTAGACACGTCAATATAAAAGCATACGTTCTTTTTAAAGTAGAATAAGGGTGAGAAACGAGCATACAGTTCACCTGATGGTAAGTGGATGCTGTTGCTCATATACATTTAGGTACATTTATTCTGGATTAGGAATCAATATGCAGATTCGTTGTCACCCCTGAGGACTAAGATGGAATGCCTCGTTTCCAACGAAAAGGGTCTCCGGATGTAATCTCACCACACGAAACACAGCAGCATTAAGCTGCTATTTTACGCTATTATTACTATTATGTGAGATCATGGTCCTACCCCGGTTGAGCTGACCCATTCGTGCTACAACCATAATATAGCTGCAGCGTGGCTCTACCACGTATAAGATATACGTGTCTTTTTTAACTACAGTAAAGTAGTTAAAAAAAACACAGATTTGAACTACTAAAGTGTCACAGTCCCCATTCCAACCTTCAACTTATTTATGTTTATTGTAACAAAATATCTGGACCTAGCTCACGAGTTAACATGTGCGGTAGTCTACCGACTAAGATTATTTTTGTTGCCGTTTCTGCGAACGGATTAATCTTGGCCAGTTTTTCGGGTCTTCTGAGGCGGCTGACTCGCCATTCCTGGCTCAAATGCAGAAGGCAGTGCTTCTCAATACATGCAAGCTGCCGACTATGACCCTAACCCTCGGCACGGGATACTGAAGGGTCTCTCCCCTGCCAAGAGCTTCCGTCTGGCTGGGTTTTATCTATTAAGTATACGTGTGTTATTCTTATGTAGTCTGATAATAGTATATATATATAGATATATACAGTATATTATCATATACCCCACTCCTCTTATCCCATAGTAGATAACTATCCACAACCCATTACAACCCATCATATAGATCACACACCCTCACAGTATACTATACAAGTTATCACTCATACATTCCACAAATATCTTTTTTTTTACATATATTTCTCATTGAAGTCTATTAAAGTCCACTGCTAACAAGGCCTCCCCCACCTCAAGGGGAGATATTTGCATTGTTCACTTTCAAGCGGAACGCAGTTTATTAATATGTTTAAAACTCAGAGCCAAAGTAACGCGTGGCCGATTACAGCTATACAATAATATAAACATTTTAATCGAATTTAATGTAAAAAATACACGAGACTACCTAAATAAACTCAATTCTCAAGTCAAATAATTAATTCTGAAATGAATATATGAACTGTATGTAGCCTCATAATACATTTATGAAAATGTAATATATGCACACAAAAATAAAAGTAGTTTTGCAAAAATAAGTGACATTCATTCTGTAAATACTAGGAACAGACACAAGCTAGTAGTACCAGTTACTCGACTCCACCGAGTCAGTAACTCATTCTTGGGGCGATGTATACGCCTTTACAACAAAATCCCAGAAAATATACAAAATTTGTCATACGCAAAGTTCCAAAACTTTATTAAACTAAGTTTGTATAAAAAGGATTATTATAATATTAAGGAATTTATGGATGATAATAACCCCTGAGAAGGGTGATCGCAACCAAGTTATTTCTAATTTTTTTGTTTTGTTAATTACTGTAACATACATAATTTTAAGCTCTCATTTACAAAAAGAGTCCCGCTGGTTTTCTTGCTGGTTCTTCCCAGGACAGAGGTTTTTTTGCTAACCAGTGGTAAATGAAAAAAAGTGACTTTCAATAAGAATTATTTATAATATAGGATAGGGTGACTAGTCAAGACAAAAAGTTTCTGCTTCATATTAAAATATCGATGACGACAGTTTGACTTTATGCCTGTTATTATACTGGCTCTGATCAGTAATCGCGATTACGATTACGACTACGAAACCAACGAGTATAAAGTATTCACATTCGGGAGATCATCAATAAAGCGATGAGATTGGAGGTACCTATCCATCGCGAATCGCAATTTCGATTAAAGCTCAGGATGTTGATCAAGGTGATGTCCTTTTTATATTAATACTAGCTACAGCAGACGATGTTCTGCCTTCTAGGACGACCCTTTGACTTATTAAAAAAAAAACAAAATTCGTAATAAAAAATTTTGAGGGTCGCGTAACGGGATAAAACTATCCTATCTCTCAAGTTGGGCCAAACTGCACACAGTGTGCAAAATTTCATTGAAATCAGTTCTGTAATTTAGGAGTTCATCGTAGATAATGTGACACGTAATTTTTATATATAGAGATAGCAATCTCGCACGGGTGCAATTTATATGTTGTGGTGTCATTTATGTTTGAAAAAGATAGTACTGTTTGTTCGAATTTGAGTTTGACGTTTTGGTATTGATATATTGTATAAAAATATTTAATTTAATTATAACTAAAACTAAACAAAAATAAATTAATTATTATACTTAATCGTTTGGATTAAATGACACAGTTGAATAATATCAAAATTGGTTAACGTTCATTGGTTTGAGTTGTTAGTTGAATTTGTCGTGAAACAGCGAAATTTTTCCATGGCTTACAGATTTAACAACTTTGGTTAATTATAGCAGTTAATGCTAATTATTATAGAATGTATTTATATATAATGTTGACAGCTGACTTTTCATTGCACAATACGAACAGAATTTTATGGAAGTGACGCGCGAAAGGGATACACATAATTGTCCACGAGGGAAGCACTCAATTCTCACGTCCAAGCCCGGAACTACCCGCAACATTGAATGTTTGACCTTGTGATTTATTAACCGTAATTGAAAATAACAATTTTCTGGAAAATTGCAGTCACTTAAATTGGAATGGTAGGTCCATTGGTATTATTGGGAAAATATAGTAATTTAACCAGGATTTAATGAAAATATTCTAAATAATTTAAAGAAAAAAATGTATAAAATGACACCTGAACAAAGGCTATGCAACTACAATTTGATGGGATTGCCTTAACTCCTGGTTTATATTACAATAGGAGTATTGATCAGATAATTGGTTGTGAAAGAGGTACTGAGAAAATTGCAGACCATTGTCTTGTTTTTACGATAAAAGGGATAAAGAGCAAATACAAACAGCCATTTGTTACCAGTTCTACCAAAGTGCAACTAAAAGCCATATATTGAAAGATATAATAAAATATAATAAATAAAGACATTAATTATTGATATAATTAGAAGATTAAGATAATGTGGCTTAATTATTGTCGCTACAATTTGTGACCAAGGCACATGTAATGTATCTGCAATTAATTCTCTTTTAAAAGATACAAAAGAAAAATATTTAAGGCGTAATAAAGTCTACAAAAGCAGTATAATAGAAATTGATAATATAACTTTATTCCATATTTATAGTAATCGGGGAATCAAAACCAGTTCTCCAATTCCACATCCGGTCAGTATTGTACACTCCATTATAAATGTTTTTAAAGATTTTTACCTGGAACATTAAACCACTACACAATTTGGGTGGATAAAGGTTCGTAATAAAATAAACGGGGTATCCGTTTATTACTTTAAAATTTTACTTTTAAATCTTGTATTTATATGGGGGAAATCCAGAAGGCTGGAAGAAATTGAGAAATTTTATTGAAAAATGAACAACATCTTTCGGGTCGAGTACAGTTTCTACAAAGTAGTGTGTTTACATTCGTGAGTATTAAGTTATTAATATGAGATCGTTACTAGGTATATAATCATATATAATTAACTTCGGGATAAAAATTATCGACGAAATTTTGAAGGTCATCTACTAAAACGCAAAGATGTGCACTGTCAGGATTAATTATTCCAATGTAACAAGTGGAATCTATAATCTCTACAATGTATCTCTATAATACATAAAAAAGCCGCAAAATTGTACTTTTAATTAATTTGTTGTTTTTTCTCAATTTATTTTGTTGTATAATAAAGTATGTTCCATTCATTTATTTATTTATTAATTCATTGGTCCATTTTACACTTTGAGCAATAAAGATGAGTCCGTCACTCAGGACATGCTCTTTTATATTTTATTATTATCATTAAGTTAGTACACTTAAAACTTAAGAACTTAAAAACTAGGGGTTAGTAAATTCACAGAATACATAAATTATTACTACACAAAAATTATTATTTATTATCAAACATATTGGGTCTGGAACCCATATGCACTGTGTTCCAGTACCTCATCACAGGGCAATCTTGCCTTCCATATATGGAAGCTAGGAGGCCGTTGGTGCTGTCTCGTACGCGACGCATCAAGGAATCATATATAACATAATGAGTAGATCAATTGCAGAGTCATGCCCACCGGCAATGAATCCCACTAGAGTTACATAATCGCACCGCTGCACTAAACTTGGTAATCTGTGATAAACTACAATATATAAGTATATAAATATATAGAAACACTACAATATATACACTACATATAAGTATATACATTACTACAACACATGGAATAATATATAGAAAGTAAGATTTACTATTATTGTCAACTTTACTTTCTATACTGGATGATTTTTTACAGTGTGGAAAAAAATAGGGTATAACAGGTGACCGAAATAGATACTAATTGGTTACGTATTATTTTAATTTCGATAGTTTTTAATTGATTTATTTATTTAGTTCAAGAATTTTGATATCATTATTTTAGTACCGAAAGTTGATTTCAAATTAGTAGTATTTGTTGATAGGTCAATTTCATATAT